ACCGCGGTTCTTGTGCCTCAGAGGGATGCACGACCAAGGTGGAAAGCAAACGAGCTCGCTGTGCCGGTAGGCGCGCCGGCATAGAGGCGGCGTCCCTGGGGTGTGCCGGCACAGTCGAATCCGGCCTGTGAAGCTGACGCCAGAATTGACCCATTCGGAGGAAGAGCAGATCATCTAGTACGCTAGTGCCATCTAGGGATGACCACTCGCGTCGTCGCGCGCGGCGGGCCGCCGTGCGAATTTCAATCGACGCGCCATGGCGCCGGCCCGGGTGTCGCTTTATGCCCCCGGGCCGACGCAGCGACGTTGGGTCTATGTTTCAAAAACAGCGACGATCTTCGTTCGCGCCACGCGCGCGCGGGGTCGTCGAGCCACACTTCAAGAGGAAGCCGGGCTCCGTTCGCGGTGCTTAGACCACTCGACGACGCGTCTCGTCGCGCCTCGAGTTCGCTCCTATGGCAGCTCGTCCGCCGGCGGCGACTGGAATTCGCCCGTAACGACGTCGGTGCATGCTGAATCTCGCTTGTAGGTAGGTACTATAGCCGCTACGGAAACTTTCGAGGCAGTCACCGTAAAGACGCGTCAACTGCCGCAATGAAGATAGAAGAGGTACAATCGACGACTCGACAACAGCGCGTCGCGGCGCACACGCATATCAAGGGCTTGGGTTTAGACGCTCAAGGATGTGCCCTAGCGATCGGGACGGGCATGGTGGGGCAGGAAAAAGCACGCGAAGCAGCGGGTGTGGTGGTCGAGCTGATCCGCACCAAGAAGATGGCTGGGTGCGTTAGTTGGCGTCCGGCCCTCGATCAGAGACAATCGTGCATTCGTGTTTCGCAGGGGCATTGTCTCGTCGCTTCAGTGATTTTAGTGTAAACATTTAGGCGGGCGTTGCTATTAGCAGGTGCGCCTGGAACAGGCAAGACAGCACTGGCCCTCGCTGTCGCACAGGAGCTAGGTCCAAAGGTCCCGTTCTGTCCTATGGTTGGTTCGGAGGTTTATTCATCGGAGGTGAAGAAGACGGAGATCCTGATGGAGAATTTTCGAAGAGCAATCGGGCTACGAATTAAGGAGAACAAGGAGGTTTACGAAGGCGAAGTCACTGAGATTACACCGGAGGAGACAGAGAACCCACTCGGCGGCTACGGGCGGACAATCAGTCATGTACTTCTGGGTCTGAAGACTACCAAGGGTGCGAAACAATTGCGACTGGATCCTAGCATATATGAGCAGATGCAGAAAGAGAAAGTTGCAATAGGTGATGTGATCTATGTAGAGGGAAGCACTGGTGCAGTCAAGCGCGTGGGTCGATCAGATGCGTATGCGACTGAGTTTGACCTCGAAGCTGAAGAGTATGTCCCCCTGCCGAAGGGCGATGTGCACAAGAAAAAGGAGATTGTGCAAGACGTGAGTCTACATGACTTAGATGTCGCGAATGCGCGGCCACAGGGTGGTGGGAACGACCTCGTTTCTGTCATGGGCTCAGTCCTCAAACCAAAGAAGACAGAAATCACCGAGAAGCTTCGCACCGAAATCAATCGGGTTGTCAATCGGTATATCGACCAGGGTGTGGCAGAACTTGTGCCGGGAGTCCTCTTCGTAGATGAAGTTCACATGTTAGACATAGAATGCTTCACATATCTCAACCGTGCGTTAGAGTCCAGCCTTGCACCTATTGTGATCTTCGCCACAAACCGCGGTGTGTGCACTATCCGCGGAACGGATATCGTTTCCCCTCATGGCGTGCCCGTCGACTTGCTGGATCGTATGCTCATCCTCCGCACGATGCCATACTCGCTCGAGGAAATAGTCCAGATCATGTCGATTCGTGCAGAAATAGAATCTCTCGAAATTGATGATGAGGCCCTGGCAGCTCTCGGGGAGATTGGTATTCGGACCTCGCTTCGTTATGCTGTCCAAATGCTAACGCCATCACGAATCGTCGCAGAGACTAATGGTCGTGATACCATCAATCTTAGTGACGTCGAGGAGGTTGACGACCTATTCTTTGACGCCAAGGCTTCGGCAGCCATCCTTGCAAAATCAGAAGGATACCTTGCCTGATTGCATGCAACAACAACGACCATGGAATTCTCTCATCCAACGCGAATGATCTTCATCCTCCACAGCTGGGCTTTTCACCCAGACTCGAGCTTCCTCATCAGCCTCGCAGGTGATGGGCTGTGGATGTTCTGTGGCAGAATTCTGTAGCGCTGCCACTAGAGTTTTGGTGAGCGCCGGTAGGGACACCAGTGACGAGATAGAGGCAAAAGTATCGCAAAAGTAAGCCCCTAGATTATGGTTGCCCTGGCGCATCCATCTCCGTGAAGGCCGCTGCCCGCGCTTATCTGTACGCGCCCTTCGTTTTCACTCCCGCCCCGTGCTTGGTAAGCAGGGGGGTGTTATGGCGGCTGAGCATCCAACAGATGCTGCAGTGCCTTTGAGTGTTTACCTAGCACTGAAGAAGGAGCTAACAGAGCAGAATCTTGCCAGGGTTAACCTCCTTTTACAGCAAAGTATAGAGGATGATGATGCAATTCCAGAAGGCTTGGATGAACAGACAGCCAGTTATCTAGCGATGGTAAAGTTAAGTCTAATCTGCTAACTCTTACTGAACACCATAATGCAGACATTGGAAGCCTCCTTGTGTCCCTTGCAGACGAGGAAACTAAGCTCAGTCTCGTTCAGGCTAAGCTAAGTAGGTTCATTCTCGTCGTCGTGGTCCTCGGTTTCAAACGCCCGATTGTCGGATGAGCGCGATCTTCCGCAGGAGATAGCTGCTCAAGCCCAATGCAAGTTTTACCGAGCAACAAAGAACCCAGAGTTATTCCGCTACAACCGCCCAGATGCAGATGAGTATGCTGCAGTGAATATTATTTCGATCGTCAACCTTGAATGGGACACATACTATTGTACCACGCCTTGTACCCCTAACAAGCACTACGTAAAACCCAGCAATCTCAATTAATCAAGCTATGGACGATCCCCGCGACTGCATTTTGGCTCGAGGGAGGGTGTGCGTTGGCACGATTTGGGAGAAGGGGGGTGAGATTAAGACTGCGAAGTTTCAGGTCTGAAGACCATGGGGTTGGGCGCGCGCGCCATCGTCTAAAAGGCCATAATATGTGCGGTGTAGTGAGGGTGAGGGGTCGCATCGCCGCGATCGTCGCGCGCGAGCCCCAAACTTGGTAGACTCGACCTATGTATGTATTAGAGTGCCACCGTAAGCTGTAGCACAGCTGCGACCCAGAATATAGTCATGGGATTATCGCCGAGGCATGCATTCGTTTGATGCGATGAACCGATCACCGGGACTACATTTTGGCCCGATACACAGCTAGAGCTCACACAAGCATTTTGACTACATGAGAGATGAAGCTTACCAAGTTTGGGGCCTGCGCGCGACGATCGCGGCGATGCGACCCCTCACCCTCACTACACCGCACATATTATGGCCTTTTAGACGATAGCGCGCGCGCCCAACCCCATGGTCTTCAGACCTGAAACTTGGCAGTCTTAATCGCACCCCCCTTCTCCCAAATCGTGCCAACGCACACCCTCCCTCGAGCCAAAATGCAGTCGCGGGGATCGTCCATAGCTTGATTAATTGAGATTGCTGGGTTTTACGTAGTGCTTGTTAAGGACATGCTCCTGTGAGAACTCGGTCAGGTCATGGCGCGTCGCCCGGGTCCAGTGGATAAGAACCTGGACACGAAGGTGACAGCCGGTCTGGAGAAGCTCGACTGCCAAATCCTTGGGCGCTACTTTCCTGGCTAATCGAAGATGTTGTACACTTATTACGCAGTGCTCTCATTGGTCAGGCGCGTCTCACGCGTTTGGTAGAACCTGACTGGCTAAATTGCGCGCACTCGTGACTGAAACTTACCCGCATCTGACGTTTCGACGGAAAGGAAGGGAAATGTACGAGAAGATTTCTATAATAGTTTTCCTCGTGTCTCTGATCCTCTGCCAAATAAGGAGTTTTTCTAGAATTCTCCGTCACATCCGTAGACTTATGATCATTTGTCAGGGTCGTGAGCCATTCATCGCCTCAACTTTCAGGTGCCACGCGCATACGTTTCATGTGTGGCACCCAGAACGCCTGAGCAATAGCGAGTGTACGAGCTTTCGTTTTTTGTACAAGCCGATTTTGGACTCTTTGGAGCTCCTATTGGCTCCCGAATGTCAAGTTGATCGCAGGATCACATCAGTCTGGGACCTGTGGCTCGCTTCACACATGCGTCGTAATGACATATTCATTTACGTTGGTGATATAAGAATGTACATATTCTTTTTTGTGCGTTTCCGAAGTCTGCGGCGCCGCGGTATCTATTGCATCTACTTCCAAACCGAGCCGATTCACCTTGTGCTCCCGGTATTGTTGGACAGACTAGGCCTGTTTTCTAAGCACCAGCCCGACGAAATCTGGGACTACGCAGCCCTTAACCTCACAACTCTCCAGAAACTTGACGTGCCTAGTCTCACCTGCAAGTACTTTCCTCCTGTAAATCTGCCCAGGTCCTTTTTGATTGACCACGCGTCAAAGCTCGAGACACCCGACCTCATCTTCCTCGGCAACATCAAGCATCGGTCACTTAAGTGGGAACAGCTAAGGAATGCTTCTCCACTCATGAGGGCACATTTAAGGGCGATTTCTGACATATGGGATGATGACGCTTATACAAATATGCTTAGACAGCCCGGAAGTTCAATTTTCCTCAACATTCACAAGGTTGGGGCCACGACAATCGAAGCCCTTCGCATCAACAAACTTCTTGGCCACAAAGCCCTTATCATTTCGGAACCCTGCGAAGAAATCGACCGTCTGAACTACAACGGCCTCGTTTTCTTTGAGCCGTTGGAGTGTATCCCGCAAAAATTTGACGAGCTCGTTGCAATTGGACCTGAGAGACGGCAGAAACTGGCCGATGAGATCTACGGTGCGTTTAGCGCACGCTATGACGTAAATAATTGGGGAAATCTCCGGCGTGGCATGCTAGCCCGATCAACGCGGGCAAGCGCTTGTAAAACCAGATAGACCATGTTAGCGCTTGTAAAACCATGTGGTGGTTCTGTCGATCGTTGCGGTATTGTGGGCTCATGATTATCGGCCCGATAATGCGACGATGGAGTAGCACACTTGCACCAAGAGTGATTGTCTATGGGCGCCCACGACCCAAACTCAAAACGTGCTCGCCTTGTCAATACACACGCGCATTCGTGAGTGAGTATCGGTGTCGCGGTTCAAGACAGCAGCAGGTGCCACAGGAGCAGGTGCCACCGCATCAGGTGCCGCAGCAGACGCAGGCCCAGCAAGAGGCATGGAGTCGCTGGACCAAAGGTGAGAGCATGTCTATGGTGCCCAATTACAGTTTTTCCGAGTCAGGCTACTACATTTGCGCGCGCGGTCGAATTTTTTTTGTTTGGCTGGGGGTAGCGACTACGCGCGGAGCGCGGCCGCGACGGTTAGCCTATTGAGCTTCTTATATTAAGGGGATTATCCAACGTAGCTTAACGCAGATAGTCCCCACCGCGCGGCTGGCGCTTGAAAAAGTTTTGCTTTCCACCCTGGTCAGCCGCCGTTTTTTCTTCGGGTGATCAAGCTCCTCAAGAACGAACAGCCACCGGTTTTAGCAAGCTCACCTGACACAGAAGGACGAAGCCCCAAAAGCACATGTGCCAGGCTGCCACTTATCCCGAAGGCACTAATGCGACCTTCAACGACTGGCAAGCCTGGTTGTTGCTGCTGGATTGCAAGGCAGGTTTCCACTGACATGTAGACTCGAGCTGTGACCAGACCAAATATATGGGGATTTAGTTATTGTAGTCCGGAGCTGGGTCCAACATGGCCTCTTCTCGTTAGAGCAATGAGTGCTGCGATTCCCGCCCCTCCCGAGGCAAACTCCAGGTGGCCCAAACTTGCTTTTAGAGACGAACAGCGTACCGCGGCTATGGGAGATGAGTTCCAGACAGCACGTGCGGCACCGATTTCGATCGGATCACCTAGTGGCGACCCTGTGCTGTGAGCCTCTAATGCGATGGTCAAACCATCCGTTCTGTGCTCCGACTCGACACGCTCGCTCAATACCTCCTGGGACTTGCCGTTGGGTGCCGTCAGACTAGCTCGGAGAGCATCATTCAACACTGCTGAGCACACAACTCGGACGGTACATATTCGATCCTCGCAGTTTAAATGATATCCCAAGCAGCTTTCGCCCCGAACGAAGCCATCTGCTCAAGTATCGAACGAGTGACAGCGCCCCAGAGACGAGATTGCGCTGGGGAACGCGGACCAGGAGCCTCGGGTGAGTAGTCCGACGCAGAGCACCAGACCTGGAATGACAGCAGTTTTGAGCATATGGATTGCTACAAGCTGAGTCGAGCAGGCCGTGTCTAGGGCGGCGCATGCTCCAGATAGTCCAAGGTTGTACGATATTTCGGCGCATACTCGCGTAGATTTTCATCCTTGGGATATCCCAGCGTATACAGTAGTATTTGGAGCTGCAGTATTTCCCAAACATGAGTGTGCACATGACAGGGATATACTGATTTCTGGATCATTTGAAACGCCACGAGAGTCGAGACCACTTTCGAGCACTGGGACCGATAGAAAAGAACCGTACGCAACTCAAAGCTCATCTGCGTCCAATCAACATCATGGCATTGTGGATGGAGCTTGCGTTTGACCGATGGCAAGTCTACCCACGGCACTGATGCTGCGGAGATGACCGGGCATCTCAAGGCAACAATGGCTGACGAATAACGCAGACGATCTCTTTGTCGCACTTATTTGAAACAGCAATGACGGGGGCGCGGGGGTCGAACGTCCGCCCACCATGTCAGTGATTCAAATCCACTCCGATATGGCCTCAATTGTGGGATAGTCGAAAAGTAGTGTCGAAGGAAGCTCGAGAGAACATTGTTCTGAGACCGATTGAACGTATTGGGTGCCGGACAAGGAATCCAGTCCAGCATCCAAAAGAGATTGGTCTGCGGATACGTCAGTACCAAGGACCTCGAGAACAGATGCCCCGAGAACTTCAAGAACCTTACCAGGTTTGTTACGACTAGAGTCGGTGGATGACAACAAGTGATTGCCTAGGGAAGCAAGTGTGGGATGATCAAATATCATCGAGGCGGAGAGATCAGTATGAAGTCAGACAGACAGAGCTTACACAAACTACGTGCCCGCCAGGGAGTCCAGACCGGCATCTGATAGTGACTCGCTGCTATCGAGGTCAGTCCCGAGGATTTACAGGATTGATCAAGAGAGAACGGCACTAATGTCCAGTCCACCAAGCGAGTTGAGCGAGGATGCGGGTCAAACAGAAACCTCGCCAACTACGCTCAAAATCCAGGTATTTAGTTGCTAGGCGATAGGATCACGGCCAAAACTTGTAATGTTGCCGATCGCAAGATTGCTATCAAGCCACTCTAATGCAAGACTTCTAGTGAGCGAGTCAAACTATGGGTAATCGAGCCGCGAGCGCCGACTCAAAGGGAAACGTGCCTCACACAGATCCACAAGCGCAGACCATTCCCGCTTATTCTCGGCGACAAACTGCCAGGGCAGAAATCACCGGTGATAATTAAGACTGCGATCCATTACGCGTGAGTAGGCGGCGGCAGCAAACGTAGTATTTGTTTCCAGGACTACCTGCTGGGCCTGCATAACCTTTGAAGCAGTGGCGTCAACTGCATCCATCATCACCCCCATCCCGGAGAGTCGGTTTTCGGTATTGAGTGCGCTCATCAACAAGAGCGCACTAAATGCGACTCCTTCTAGATAACTCGAGCCGCTTGGACTTTGATAGCCTCCAGCATCGTCAAGAATCTATTCCGCTTGATACACGAGGTTCAGGCGCACAACATTGTTCGAAAATATAAAGTTAGTTCCAAGGATTGACCTGACCCGCTCATTTTTCCAATATCCCACACATTTCAGAATCACATCGCAAACTATCACGTCTCCACTCGTCGTTCTTACTTCAGAAGCACATGTGCTCTAAACCTAACCCAGCGACGTGGACAGAAGACCATAGTAGTGAGCCACGAGCCAAATATCTGAAACTGAGATTGTGTGTCCGTGCGGTGACATTCGTCCCTCGAACCAACACTCCGGTTTGGTGACTATACATTCGTCAAAAAGAGCGTTCCACGAAGCAAAAATCTACTGCGAACCCACCTTCCCGTGGGAAAAGTCATGGGCATATGGTCACACAAAGTTAAGGTAGTCTACAATCAGCGGGCAGACTGCACCCCTCCGTCTTTGAACGACTGCTACGCGGTCTGTCCCACGTTCAAGCGCGGTGCGCGCGTTTTCGGCCGCAAAGGCACCCGCACCGACGATCAGCACGGAGCTAAATTTAAAACTCACCGATGAAACCTCGTTACCAACACCGTAGCACGTGCGTCCTAGAAACGAGTGTTCGCCTGGAAATTGGATCTTGCGGAGGGCACCAAGCCGTCGATTTGCGCCAAATAGCGATACCCGGGTGGTTAACACGCTGGGAGTTCAGTCGCCGAATTACACTGTATGCATATTTCTGTGCGAGCGCAACCGACGCACGGCAGCACTGAACTTGACTCACTACGAAAGGTACAAGGAACTCACAAAGGCAAGATCGGCCATTATCAGAGATGTTGGAGTATGGTCGAAGTTAATGAGAGATCCTCGCTCTGCAATGCGGTACGCGGCTTCTGAGGTATTGACCCTTGACGATGAATTGGCCTAGGAATGCCACACGCCTCCAACCCCGAAGTCTCGCTCGAGGAGAATAAATTGACGACCATCAAGGAGAATTTTCCGCGCTAGGAATATCCCGGAGATTCCAGCTCCAACAATAGCGAATTAAGAAACTATACCAACACCTCATAGCCTCCGAATTCGAAAAATAGACTCATCATCTTAGACACACTGCGTGAAACATGAACGAACTGTCTTTGCCACCTCCTCCGCCGTCCCGCTGAAGATATTTGTACAGGAAGGGCGCCGTAACTTAGCGTGCATAAGTGCAAACCTGCAACGGGAGGCGCTCGAGCCAGTCGTCAATTGTGCCTCGACACCAGCTACCAGCTATGCACCCGACTCGCCGACTCCAACTAAGATGTTTGTGGTATCTGCGCAGAATTTTATTTCATCAAGGACATCAGTACATAACAGCATGACTTGGTGTGCACTAATGATTATTTCAAGTCTTGGTTCCTGCTTCAGATCTAGTACTAGCAACTCACCATGTGGCTCTCCCACGATAAACACTCTTATATGAGGCCGAACATTCGTACGACGGGGTTTTGTCCAGGTTGAAACTTGACCGCTCTACTGCAACTCCGTTCGCAAATATGAGAGAGCCTCAAAAGTCAGTGATGGACGTGTGGCAGGCGAGTGAGTCGCTGAGGATGACGAACGATAGTAAGACTTTCCCCCTAAAATCAACCCTCTGATGCACCCCCAAGATGTAAATGCCCCGTGCGCGATGGTCCCGCTGAACCCGAACGAATTCAGTCGACCCATGGATGATCGCCAGCTATTATCTTTGGCTACCACCTCCGCAGGCATAGCAAATCACGACGGCACAATTGCAAACAGATGTGTATTCAGCCTGGTGCGTCTGGGATTTAGCTGGTTTAGGCCAACCATGGATGGACAGCCTAAGCTGCGTGTTCATGGTAACAACACACATACTGAGAGGCGCGAGTATAAGAGAAGCCAATCCCGCTGAAGCCGCCGATGGCTCCAAGTGACCCATGTTCGACTTCAGAGAGGCGCAATGCATTGACTCTGAGCTCGCGCGCAAGGCTCCACTAGCCGACCCCACCTAAGGGAAACAAATCAGTGAAATACTACTTGATCACACAAATCAATACTTCGATCGGGTCTCCGAGCGCCGTTCCCGTGCCGTGCGCCTCAAGTGCTCATGCAGTGGTATCAAGGTCTTGCACGGTTGAGATCAGTCGCCTTTAGGATGATCCGTTGGGCGCGGTCAAGCTCGCGCTAGGACCGTCCTGCTGCACGGCCGTCCCTATGACATCAACTTTGGCAGACACTCCAGAGGACAGCAAAATCGCTCCGCAGCCCTCGCCGCGGCAGTATCCGTCTCCGCGACGATCGAACGTGTGGCAGCGTCCGAAAGCGGAGAGCATGCCTGCCGCTGAGAAAGCCATCGACACTTTCTGCGTCAGCATACCGACACCCGTCGCCGCTGCTTCGGGACATTCGATCAGCTTGAGAGCTGATGCTGCCAGATGAACAGCGACGAGCGACGACGAACACGCTGTGTCTAGCGTCAAGCAAGGACCTGTCAGCCCGAGCGTGAAAGACACGCGACCAGATGCCACGGAGAGAGCTCCAGAGGTTCCCGAATATACCGAAGGTGCTTGTGTATTACGAGCACCCTTGCCAGCACTCTCGGTTGAAAAAGCACCGCCAACGCCGAGGAAGAAGCCAACTGGCATATTTACGAGTGATGCGCGGCAGCTCAACGAACAAAGCGTGGCAGTCGTTGTTTCGAGAACCACCATCATCTGAGGATTCATGCCTTGCGATTCCATCCTCGAGATTCCAAACGCGCTCGCATCTGACAAAAAAATGGTGAAAGACCCGTACGCTGCTGATACATAAGAGGCGTCGCTCTACCAGCGAGAGACCGGCACACAAGAGTTGGTCGCTTAACCAAGCGTCACGAGGTATTCTAGTCCAGTCTTCGTCGAAGCAAAGCCTGCGAATATGAATGAGAATGAGCCCGACAGCCACACCTCGATACTCTGTGCTTCTGGAGGCGCTGCTTCAGCCCGATCCTACACCATGGTCTAGGAGGCGTCAGCGGCAAGCTACACTCCTTCTCCGTCGGCTGTATCTGCGATGAGCCCGGCCACTGATTCAATCGTCGGGTGATCGAATAGAAGCGTCTACGGCAATTCCATAGTGAATCATTCTGCCAGAACGTCTGCAAACTCCGTCGCTGCGACCGAGTCCAGTCCAGCAGCCATCAATGGTACGTCCGTGGCGATGGCTGTGCCGAGCACATCGATGAGCGATGCAGAGATGGTTGTAGCCACAAAAGAAGTGCCTCGGGAGGCCTTTGACTCTTTGGACGCGGCCTAACGGCGCATCACGCTTCATGCAGTTTCTGGTGCACTCGAATCTCCGCTTTCGATCGGCAAGGAACCGGCAATGAAACGTAGCGATGGGTGGTCGAACAGGAGCGTCGGCGGTAGCTCCGTTTTGAGGCGCTCGTTGAGTCGCGCCGAGAGCTCCGTGGCTCCGATGGAGTCGAGCCCAGCTGACATGAGAGGGGCATCGAGGGGGATGGCGGTGCCAGTAAGTTGGGTTGCGATGCCAACCAGCTCATCATGGAGCCCATCAAACGGGGTGAGGCTATCCGCCTGCGCGATTCCTTGTGCTGAGAGACAGACAGGTTGCCTCCTGGAGAGCATGTGGCTGGGGCTGGCCAGAGAAGCTGTGGCCAACGCAAGTCGGCGACTCTCCTGCGAGGTGAGCCGTCCAAAGTTACTCTAAATCGGGGCTCCCGAACTCGGGAATGAACAGATTAGCTGGCTTGGACAGAATGATTTATTTCGGAGTTCTATCCAAAGCGTGGCCCTCTGGGCGCTCAGAGTCCCCACTTCCGAGCTTGTTGAGGCGGCTGCTTTGGTTTGGACAGGTGCCCAGGATGAAGCCGATGCTCGAGAAAGGTATTCTTAAAACATATTGATATCCGAATTGTTTGCTTTTGATGATTACCGGAGATTCATCCTATCTTGCAACCCCGCACCCGCACACAATTTTGACCTTTATATGATTTCATCAGACGCAGTGGTCATATGTTGAAGCTCTCACACGCGAAATACAGAGAGCCTTGTGCAGCTTCTCCCTGAAACGAAGTTGATCACCAGAGGTGCACGTACGATCTGTTGCCCCCGAAAATCGTGGCCACGCTTACTTTGCGAACAGGTGGCGATTGGATTCATAGGTTTGTAGGATTGGGTTTAAACACAGATTTCATGCCCAGCCAAACACTATCTCGGTTGCAAAGTTAGTGAATTGTGACTCGTAACTCGACATGCAAGTCCTCGTGGCATGAAAGCGCACATGCTGAGTCGGCCCACGCTTGGTAGCGACCTTGGCTTCAAAGGTAACCGTGCTATCGCATTTAAAGTTCCGCGGACGTCTGAGGTCAATGGAGAACGCCAACCGTCAAGAAAAGTGGCATTGGATCTGGTAGGTCATTGTGATCCTCAAAAATTTTCACTTGCTTACTGCAAGGTGTTAGTTAAATGGCAATCGTGAACTGCTTGCGCAAGATGGTTGGTCTTTCTTGCACTATGGTCGTCATAATTTCCCACGCAGTGATTGAAAAACGTCAAGTTGTCTTCTGTCATTGCGCTATCAATCGCAAACGCTCCAGAAATTTGGCTCGTACATCTCAAGATGCATCGGTCCAGGCCAGGCTTTGGTAGTATGCATGGCCGTAGAAATTACACTCCGACGAGTGCCTCTTATGACTCAAGAGAGCCCAAGGCTAACTCAATGTAGCCGACACCCGGAAGTAGGATGCTTCCTCCAACTACGTGATCCACGAGATCGGCTTGCGTCGAGGGCAACAGGGAGTCGTTTGTGGCCAGGAAATCTGATATTTGGGACGCGCCGGGGTCCTCTCGTGCAGTCCATCGATTTTGCGGCCGCTTGTTATAGACAGGCTGCGACTAAGCACGATAGAGAGAAGCCGCATCAAACTTCTCCAAGACCAACCTCGAGGACGTCGAAGTCGCAAACGCCCCGTGCGCAATTGCCCCGCTGTAGCCGAAGGAGCTCAAGCGACCCGTGGAAGCTCCCCCATCAGTCGCTCGTGCGATAAACTCGACGCGTAGCTCAAATCACGATGATACGAGTTGGGAAAGATGCGTATTTAACCTATGATCGAAGTTTGCCGACTCGTTTCTCATTTGGACTGGCCGACTGAGCTACGAATTTGCGGATACTAACGACACTTCAAGTGGTGTGAACACAAGCGAAACAAGGCCCGCAGCAGCCGCGGACGCCTCGAGGTGTCCCATGTTTGACTTTAATGAGGTGCATTGTACTAGCCCTGAATTCACGCACAATGCCCCGATGGCAGCACCGACCTAAGCAAAGGTCCTTTGAACTTCCTTTGATAACAAGAGAACCACACCTCGATGGGATCCCCGAGCGCTGTTCCGGTGCCATGTGCCTCGAGCGTTCTCTCCACAGAATTGTCATCCCTCGCCGAATAAAGGAGTCGGCGTTGCGACGACCCGTTCGGGGCAGTCAGGCTCGCGCTCGGACCGTCTTGCTGCACAGCAGAGCCTATAACCCGACTTACGCAGCCAGCCTAGTTCAGAATAAATCCACCAGCCCCCTCAGCTCGGGCAAATCCGTCGGCACGTCTGTCAAAGGTATGACATCAACCAAAGGGCGATGTCATGCCCGCAGTAGCCGTACCGACACTCCCCATGACTTCGAGAATTCCCAGCCCGCACACAGACGCCCGAGAACACTCGTCGAGCTTCATTGCCGAGGCTGCGCAGTGAAGCGCCGCTAGAGTCGAGGAGCAGGCCGTATCGACGGGAAAATTTGGACCCGTCAGGCCCAGCATGAATGAGAGGCGACCGGAAAGAATCGATATCGAACATCCACTAGCCGCGTACATGCTTAGATGGGTCGTTCTTCGAGAGGCAACACCAGGCGTAAAAAAAGTATTGCCCGATACGCCGACATAAACGCCGACGTGAGCGTTCACCAACTCTGTTCGCGTGGTTCAGGAGTCACATGACGTCGTGTGGAAGAAGGCAGCATACCCTATCTCGAGGAGCAAAAGCTGCTGGGGGTCAACTGCTTGGACTTCTCACATAGACATACCCCAGATGCGAGCTTCCAGACTAAGCGGACCGCAGAAGAGGTTACCATAATTTGCAGAGTCGTATGTTGTTTAGGCCCATCTTTACAAAGGGACTGATCCGCCCAAATTTAATCCACGACAGATGGCATTAGTAAAAGACGCGCGTTTGAGAAGCCCGCCCGGTAAATTGAAGACCGCCGACGCGAGTGACTACAACGATTGCTCAACCGGGATTATCTTTTGAAACGTCGTCGAGGTCACGCCCATCTCTGACTTCTTTGGTCCATTGCTAAGTGCTGAGACAGCTACGATGACGTCTCCTCAGTTGTTGTCAGACTTCGAGCTGGCATGCAATTGATTCCAGCGCCTGCTTTCCTCGCAGTGAGGGACAGTTGCTGGGTACTCTACCAGCAGAGAGAATAGGACCGATGTGTGAGCAAGCGCTCTCCAGTACGGCAAGTCTGCTCCCATTCACGCCCCAAAGAAGTCCACTTGTGATGCGAGATACGGCTTGCTGGTAAACGACAAACCAAGGGCATCTTCTTCGCATCCATTTGTACACCTGTAGTCTTCTGATGTCTCGGAGGAGTCGCCTATCGTTCTCGGTGTGCGTGTTTGACCGTCTGTGGCCCAACTTGTAGCCAGCGCCAGCGCAGCGTCAAGATAATTAGAGCTCCCCGAGACTTCAGCTGTGTATCGATCGATGAGGCCGATGCCCTGCGCTTCAACAGCCTGCGGTATCCAGCCACGCAACATCCGAGCCGCACGAGCTTGACCCGAGAGCCGCGCGAGATGCACCGTCGAATTTCCCTCGGCAACGACGCCCCATCTTTTGAATGGAAAGGAGAGCTCAGCTTCTTTGACTGCGATGACGTGATCGCAGTGGCTGGTGCTCGTAGCCGCCCCTCCGTAGGCGCTTCCATTTAGCGCTGCGACGACTGGCTTTGAGAGGTTAATGAATGCGTTGAAGTAATGTTGCAAGTAGTTCTGTGTAAAAGAATGTCGCCGTTTCACTGGATCAAACTCTCGGTTGTTCCGGTGCTCTGACACATGGTATACGCGACCTCGGCCAGTGACGATGCAGGCGCAGGTTTTCGCCTCCTTGGCCACTGCATTGAGTCTTTCTGCCAAGACCATTTCCATCCCAAAAGCACCGTTAAAAACTTAGGGTCGATTCAGCGTAAGGACCACGATGAGCCCGTTCGCGCCCGTCTCTCGCAGGACAAGTGGTGAGTTATCAACTTCTGAGACTGTTCATCGAGCACACGTCGGCTGGGTGACCACAACCCCAGACGAACACACATGGCTCCCTACATCTGCAAACACCAGCTATGCAATGTGCGATGAAATGGACGCAACACTCGGGTGATCGAAGAGCAACGTTGCAGAAACTTCCACCTGAAACTCACCGCCCAGATGCTGCACGAGCTCCGAGGCTGCCAGCGAATCGACACCTGCGTCCATGAGAGGCGTGTCTTATGTCACATCATTACCAACACTCTACTTAACGATGGATGATATGACCGTGGAAACCTCGTGCAATGATACATTAGGCGTAGAATTTCGTGGCGCAATGGCCCGCTATATTTCCCCTGCACTTGCTTCTAGATCTAGGTTTCACGGTGCTTGGAACGACGCTAGGAAAGACGAGATCGAAGCCACGCTCGGGTGATCAAACAGCAATGTTGTAGGCAGGTCTACATTGAACTCACTGCTTAGCTGTTCTACGAGTTCTGACGCTGCCAGCGAATCGACACCTGCGTCCATGAGAGGTGTGTCTCAGGTCACGTCATTGCCAACACTCTACTTAACGATGGATGATATGACCGTGGAAACCTCGTGCAATGATACATTAGGTGTATAATTTCGTGGCGCAATGGCCCGCTATATTTCCCCTGCACTTGCTTCTAGATCTAGGTTTCACGGTGCTTGGAACGACGCTAGGAAAGACGAGATCGAAGCTACGCTCGGGTGATCAAACAGCAATGTTGTAGGCAGGTCTACATTGAACTCACTGCTTAGCTGTTCTACAAGTTCTGATGCTGCGAGCGAATCGATCCCCACATCCATGAGCGGGACATCGCTGGACACAGTGGTCCCCTAGGACGAAGCAACCACCGAGGTGATGATGCTACTAACCAAGGGTGCGGAAGCTAGTGTGCCTCTGGGTTCTTCCGTTGGACAACTGGATTCTGAATACGCTGAAGATATTAGCTCGTCTTTTACCGAGGTAGGCTTATTTTTAACGTCCCTGGTGACAGCATTGGGGCGATGTTCCTGTCGCTGCAGTTCCTCGGTGGCGCTTCCACTTGCCTCGACATTTAGCAAAGTCTCCTGGATAAAGGAGCGCGCTGTGTAGCATTGATCTACACCCGCTGCGACGTTGCCCACCAAAACGCCGGTAGAGAGAGATCAAGAGGCCCGCATCCTTGCGTGATGAGTACTCTGCGATAGACCGCTCACGATTCCAGATGCCATGGCGTCCTGGGCGTCTAAGGACAAGTCTTCCACGTACATTCGCGTTGCAACATTGTGCCCGACAAGTTTGGGGAGTACAGCTGTTGCCATTACTACCGGGCTGAGGCCATACGGCGCGACGCCCAGCCGGAAAGTTGCGGAGCGCGTGGCGATACGATGGTCCGTGGCCAGGCCCAACAGCAATCCGCCACCGATGGACGATCCCTGGAGCACGGAGATTGACAAGATTGATGCGCTCTGTATTCGGTCGAGGAGATACCCGCTGCCGTAGATGCCCTGCGCTTTGATCCACCAAGGCGGCAGTGACGATGCTTTTTTGTCGTAGCGTCCTCCGGTGCAGAAATGAGGGCCGGTGGCTTGTAGCACCAGAGCTCACATCTTTGTGAAGGTGAACGCAGCTGCCAGACATCATCCAAGATTCTCCAGCAAGCTCAAGGTCATGGCGTTGAACGTGGAAGGGTCATCGAGCTCGAGCAATGCTGTGTAAGTGTCACTCCACGCGAGGGTAGCGAGCTTAGTGTCAGTGTCAAAAAGAAGTTTCATACTACCGAACATGGATCGCGCTGCACTGCTCAACACACGGCGCACTTGTGCAGCCGGAAGCAGGAGCAAATCCTGGTTCATCGGGTCTGTCGCCTTTTGTTGATTCTCCTGCTTGATATCGTCGATGAGCTTCACTCAAGCGGCTTCGAGGCTGTCGGCTCGCGTCAAAGATTCAACTGGTCTGTACAGGGCCTCGACATCGGCGACCGCCATGATCGAAATGCCTCGGAGAGATGACATTGTATCGAACGTCAAGAGCCCCGCAGCCACCATTGTTTTACCAACCAGCGTTTCGTTGCCTAGTAGCCAAGTGTCGGGAATGTGATTGTCCTCGTAGCAAGATGCGAGTACGTCGATGTTTATTCCGCTTTTGCGGGCGGCGCCCAGAATCGCAGTCAAGGAACTCACCTCCGCTGGCTCCAATCGAGTCAAGCACACGTAAGCTGTGCCGTGGCCAGCAACGACAGCGAGGTGGACACTTGAGACTTATATCTGTCTAGTGGCACGCAAAGAGACCTGGAGCTGGGCGGTAGGAACAATGTTGGCCCAGGTTGCTGCCAGACACTTAAAACACGAGACTGCAGTTCAGAGAGTCAAGTCATTCCCTTGACCAACCGAAGACGATTCCTGGCCCCGATTGACGATGAGCGTGTAGTCTCGAACAATCTGTTAGCCAAGGCACGCATGAGACGCTTTTTCAGTCACTAGTATTATCGGGGCTGCAATGAGAGGCGGGGAAAGCTCTCCCGAGCTGCGCATACTAAAGTCAACAACGACACCAGCTGAATATCGCATCACCTGCTCCTAAAGCTGACTGCACTGGACGGCAGGCCGAATCATAGTCACCCAGTCTGAACTCCAACAGCACAAAGATTCTTTGAGTCTCGGCACTGACGGCGACATGAACGCCTCGGTCGATTTCGCACCTCACAAAGGCCGACCTGTGCTACCACGAAGCACAATGAGACGCGAAGTCGACGCAACGACCCCGGCCCATCTTGCATCGCTCCCTCACCTTTCTTGAGCCGCGAGCAACGCAAGCTTTTTGCGCATCGAGGCTAGCGTGTTTCAAATACCAAGGACCTTGATGCGCTACAGTGTCAACGTGCAGCCTCTCAATTTTACAAAAGCATCTCTCCTGTCAAAGACAAGCACACTCTCATTCCATGCACAAGTCATCACGCACTCTCTTGGTTGACGTCCTCTCGTAGCAATGCACCAGTCCGCGACTTCGGCAATATTCACCAATTCTTTGCCAAGGAGTGCGAGGATTGGAGTCGTGATGTATCTTTCCAGACCGGGAGCGAGACTGCACCTAGCTGATCGCATCGTCAAATTCTGCGCGCCATCGTCAGTCTCCGAGAGAACGAGAGCGTAGCACGCGACGGAGTGAAGCATACTTGCCAGGAGAAGAGTAATTGTCTATAGGCGCCCACACTCCAAACGCAGAACGTGCCCGTCTTGCCAATACGCATGCGTAGTGCGCGAATGAGCATCCATGTTATGGGAACAAATTTCACTGGACCTGGCATCCTTGAGTGCCTGACAAGGAATATACTCATGATCGTACTTCTAGTAGAAGCATTTGTGTTTCAATCGAACAGGGTCACTCGCATGAGCGACGGGCCTGCCGCTTGTAATGAAGTGGAGTGCTTCCAACGCATCGACCAACCGCGGGCTCATGTTGGGCAATTTGTGCCCTCCGCGGAACACGCAAATCCCAGAGCTAGACCCAAAGAGCCCCGCAGTCCGTCCGACCATTTGCTGAATATCGTTGGTGTCGCAATCGCCGACCAAGTGCAGGGACGGCGTGTTGCCTGCTCCGTCCTCGTACAGGTGACTATGAGCGGGCGACGTCAGCGCGCAGATGCTGATCAGCAATCATCCCTAGAATCCTGGCCCAAAAGCAGTGGCATTATGATTGACGAGAATCGACGCTGCGGTGCCGCCCTCACTGATACCTGCCAAACCGTGAATCGGAGCCTGTTCCCTCTCGGCCCGTGTTATCTGCTCGACAGATGCCATCCAATCCTCCCGCAGCCCGAAGCTGTCGTTGTTGAGATCTGTCGCTCTGCGGATTCACGCAAACATCTCGGCTTGGCTCGCGCTTGTCAGGGAATACTGCGTAATCAGGCGCCACGACCGCGACTTCCGCGGGTCGTACCCGAACCGCTTGCGCAAGAACGCCCCACCGGCTCCAGATGAAAAGTCAGCACCCTGGTTCGGAGCGCTCACTGTCATCCACTCGATTGTTTGGCTTGGAAGCCACCCCTGGTGATTCATGGAACCCGCTTGAAATTCCGCGTACGTGTCCATGCCGTGGAGGAACAGAAGCCGGACTGGTCGAGTTCTTCGGCTCGCACCAGCCCGAGGATGGGTGGTGTGTGCTCCAGATCACTAAACGCACCGTTTTGGATCGCCACACATGGAAGAGACTTACGGGCTGCTAGACGCAAGAAGAAAATGCTGTTCCCCATAGAGTTCAAAAGTAGGAACCCCAGATGCCACTGTTCTCTCGAGTCTTTCATATTAGGAGACTCCAGTGCCATCCGGGAGGAAGAAAGCACAAACCTCGGTTTTTCTCTCTGTACACCAATTCACTTGTAATTGAGCTCTGGCAAACAGCCACGGCCGAGCATCAGCCGCGAAACTCAGCAATGTATTGCAGCCTCAAAAGCGCAACGTCGCATCGATTCAGCGACGCTCGCTTGTGCAGGTACCGGTTAAGGAAACGCAAGGACCTCGCTGCAGTTCGAGCGGTGGCGTATTTGATGCGCCCTCTGAGTCAAGCAAGACACCTCGATTTATAATACACGTTGCCTCTGATCGCTTTTGAGACGCTCATTACGACCGATACAAAGACGTCGTCATATATGTAAACAAAATCGCAAGGTAACGAGCTGCAAAAGCCCCATGAGCAATCGTCCCCGTTGCCCCGAATGAGCTGAGTCGACCCAGGGGTGCTCACGACAGAGGCGCTAAATCGCAGAGTGGGATCTGAAAGGGCGCACTTCAGACAACATTGACGAGGTGCGGATTCAGATTCCGCGTCTGGGCGTTGGCAGCGACACTTCGAAATGACAACGACAAACAAAGCAGGGCCGCCGCCCCAGCCCCGCCCGCGACGGCCTCCAGATGTCCCATGTTGGCTTTCAGCGAGGTGCAAGAAACCTCGATTCCCGTCTCACAGAGCGCGCTCGTAGCTGCGCCAACCTCTACGGGATCTCCAAGCGCGGTTCCCGTGCCATGCGCCTCGAGGGCACTGGGACTGCCCTTGATTTTAGTGACAAGCGAGTCTTGAACACCGGCAATAAGACGCCGCTGCGCAGATCCATTAGGAGCGGTCAAACTTGCGCTCCGTCCGTCGTTTTGCACCCGTGTCGCGTCGACCTCAAATTGAGCAAGTTCACCCACGGACAACAAGATGGACACGGAGCCCTCCCCGCGACAGTACCCGTCTCCTCTGACATCAAAGGTGTGGCATCAACCCCGCCCAGACAGCATGCCCTGAGAGGCAAAGGCACCCGTGAAAATAGGCCCGAGCAACCCAACGCCCGAAGCGATGGCGTCTGGGCATTCATGACACGTCAGAGCGGTAGATGCGAGGTGAATAGCAACGAGTTGCGAAGAGCACGCGGTATCAAGAGAAAGAGAAGGGCCTGTGAGCCCGAGAATAAATGACGTTTGGCCACTGGCAAAGGAAGTTTATTGGATACCTGCTCTGGAAGGAAGGCCGGCAGCGGCCTCTTCAATAGGTTTTCCAAGGATTCCTACGAAAACACCAACGTCTCGCTCATGCCTGCGCGATGCTTCCTTGCATGATTTCAACGCAGAATCTGCCCCTACGAGGAGCATGATAAAATGACGGTCCATGGTTCATGCTTGATTCGGGGAAATGCCAAACATCTGATATTCCAAATGAAGATCAAGAAGGAAGGATCCGTAGCCTGCTGCGGTGTCTCCAGAAACGGCGGCCCATCGCAGTGGGGGGATGTCTGAAGGCGTTGCCAGGGCTCGAAACAAAAGGGAACGCATTGAAACTAACCTCGCGATGCCACCATTTAGTTGAAATGACAACGCACTGATGGAGACACTGCGCGCTTGAGAAGTGCCAGCATCTAGAGAGCTGTTTCTTGTTGATTCAAGTAGAGTTTGTTGGACTAGTGAACCTGACGACACCTGAAGGTCAGTTCTTGGGGCCTACGAATACTTTGCCTACTCTGGGGATTAAACGATCAACTCAGTCTCGACCGCGTGCGGCGATGATTCTAAAACTACTTGGCTCACCGAAGATGCAACCCCCTCGATCGAAGGGTGGTCGAAGAGGAGCGTGGCTGGGAGCTAGGCGCTGAACTCGTCGCTCAGTGCTCGCTACAGCTCTGTGGCACCCAGAGAGTCGATACCCGCCGCCATCAACGGCGCGTCGCCAGCGACTTGAGTCCCGAGCACCTCTGCGACGCAAGAGACCACGGTTGCTTGCACTTGGTGCGTGTCCACTTGGCAACAGACGGTTTCACCCACGTGCGGCGATGGTACTTGACATGATTGGCTCACAAAAGATGCAACCCCCTCGATCGAAGGGTGGTCGAAGAGGAGCGTGGCTGGGAGCTAGGCGCTGAACTCGTCGCTCAGTGCTCGCTACAGCTCTGTGGCACCCAGAGAGTCGATACCCGCCGCCATCAACGGCGCGTCGCCAGCGACTTGAGTCCCGAGCACCTCTGCGACGCAAGAGACCACGGTTGCTTGCACTTGGTGCGTGTCCACTTGGCAACAGACGGTTTCACCCACGTGCGGCGATGGTACTTGACATGATTGGCTCACAAAAGATGCAACCCCCTCGATCGAAGGGTGGTCGAAGAGGAGCGTGGCTGGGAGCTAGGCGCTGAACTCGTCGCTCAGTGCTCGCTACAGCTCTGTGGCACCCAGAGAGTCGATACCCGCCGCCATCAACGGCGCGTCGCCAGCGACTTGAGTCCCGAGCACTCCTGAAACACAGGCACTGACCTGCGGCAGCGCATCAAATATGTTGCTCTTTGGTGCAAGTAGAAAAAATAGAAGAGAACGCGAATTTGGGAACTGCG